TCATCTCTTTTAAGGGAGAGAAGACCAATCAGAGGACGACAGCAATGATTCTGCAGGAACCAATCAGCAGCAACCTGGGCAGACACACACAAACCAACAGAACAAAACACAACAAAACTATAGGGTCGTAACACAAGTTAAGCTCAGTTGACAGGATTTGCGGCATAATGTTAAATACCATGAAACTTCATTTCTGACTTGTCACTCTTTTTCATTAAAAAAATAAATGAATAAATAAATAAATCTGCGTTACAGACATTTACAATGGAAATAAATGGGACCAATCTGTAAAAGTTAAAATACTTACTTTTTCAATAGACACAAGATGTAAACAATATATGTTAACGTGATTTTAGTGTGATAAAATTTATTTTTCTGTGTAAAGTTACTGTATATCCAACTGGTTGCCTTTACAATGTAATGCTATAGACTTTTTAAAAAACACAAAATTAAAGGAACAATTTTATAGGTAAAATAATACATGCGTTTTAACAGAATAGTTAGGCCTAATCTAAATGTTTTATTAAAAAATATACAAGCTTCACATTTCTGCTTTTAAATTTGCCAAATATAGGCCACATTTACTTCCAATTGTAAATGCTTCACTGGAATTTCGATTTTTTTGTTTTGTTTTTGTAATCGATACTGAATCTGTTACATTGAAGAATTTTTTAGATTCCTTTTTATATTGACATTATATACAGATAAGTGGCTTATTCAAATTCTAGCACTCACTGCATTACTATGTTTTTAGATGACTTTTCAGTGGAGCTGAAATACTTACAAATACTGTGAAATTTATCACTACTGTTTTTAACACTAAATATAATTTGTGTAAACTGATTTCAACTAACTGTGAATCTAAATTACAGCACTAAGCAAATGATTACACTTGACTAGAATAACTTTATATCAGATGTTTTAAAGGGGTCCTATTATGCTTTTTCACTTTTTTAATTTTAGTCAGTGTGTAGTGTGTATGTTTGGGCATAAAAAAGATCTAGAAAGTTACAAATCTCAAAGTCCACTCCAAAGGGAGATATTTGTTTTTTTTTAATCCCTTTTCAAGAACTACAACGAACGGCTCGTTTGGACTACAGCATTTGTTTTCCGGGCTTTGTGATATCACAAAACGGC